GGAGAGTTTGTTTATCTCCAATTTCTGACTGGGACTTGAGCTAACCGGACGGTTTCCTTGTCTTTGAGTTCTATTAATTCGATTTAATGAACGTTTTAATTTTTTTATAATTTTCTTGAAATTATTATTTCACTATATTTTACAATATATATAAGCTGATTTCAATATGCCTCACAATGTGGAAGATTTCTACCTTTTTACAACGAATTAGTGGTTGTATACAGAAAAAGGTTGCTTCCATTTATATTGTACGTGTAGTATATTTTCTTTTGATAAAACAAAAAATTCCCATTGAAAGAGCACAAATAAGTTGAATAGATCCTATTCTTTATTAATTATAATAATTTTAATTGTTATAAATAAAGTAAATATGCTTTCATACATTTCATATAGTTTGTAACCCAATTTTAGCAAAAAAAAAACAAACATACTGGGATCCCTGGCCAGACACGGTTTACAAGTTAGCAGGGGACAAGATGAGAACCAGAAAGCTTATAAATGCCATTTGCACTGAAGAAGGTGATAGAATTCTCGACTTCAGACAAACAGTCGAGCAGTTACTGGCGGGGCACGTAGTGGATGATAAACCTGAGATAGACATTAATAAACAAAGCACGATCAAGATGAACGCTCTCAATCTACCCAATACCGAAAATGCAGACCCATTCAGTAAAGAAGAATTCAAATGAGTCGTGAGGATGCTTAAGAACGGAAAAGCTCCAGGTTTAAACTTATTAGAAGTAGATGTCGTCAAGCGTGCAATTGCATGGTTCTCCAAAAAATTTCTAGCACCTATTAAAGCACTCTTTCATTAGTGCTTGGCACGTGGTGTCTTTTTCTAGGCTTAGAAGGAAAAGCGACCAATTGGTCTTCTTTCAGTATTCGGTAAAATCTTAAAGTATTTCTGATCACGGATTAATGGAAAATCGGTTAACAGTAGAAGCAATACTCACAGTTCGAGAAGAGTCCACAGATCGTATTGTGGTTGCACTAGTTTTCGATATTTCAGGCGCGTTTGACAATGTATTGCTTAGTTAGTGTGAATAGACTAACCGAAAAGAAACTTGTGAATTTTAAAAATCTTTGAATTTAATAGGTGCTGTGGTGCGTGTGGATACACAGAGCCTTGCATTCGTATTTGTCGCTGATATCACAAATGCATGCAGAATACATTTCTCATACATACATTCTGAAAATATTTTTAACAAATGATATATTTCATTTAGACAATATTCGGTATAAATAAATTTCTTTTATTTTTAAAATCAACAGTTTGACTTGCATTTACAGCAGAAATCCGCTGTAAACAACGTCTCACTGTATTTAACTAAATGCTCTCACCGTAGTCAACTTTTCCATTCCTCACCCAAAAAGTACCAACTAAAAAACATTCGCAATGAAAGTGCTGTATTCAAATTTTCAACTAAGAACGGACTGGTTATAATAAGATAATAATAATGTGTAACGGTTATTCTTGGGACACAGCAAGTTCAAAAAATTTACAAGAAATATGAATTTAACATTTAATTAAGTTTCTTAATTATTGACAAGAATTAGTTAAATTGACTAGTAATTATTATCTCTAATAGTTATTGAATAGCAATAGAGAGATATGTACATTCACTGATAGCTTCGAAGAAAGCATAAAGGAAAGCACTAAGCTCAGCTGTCCAGGATTCTTCTCTAGGAAATTTACTTCCTCCCACACGGTACCGAAAAAATCAAATAATTGGAGAAGCCAATTATTCGCGGTTAATTACCCCCCATCATAGGTTGGTGACAGAAAACGTTAAAGTAATTCCCAAACTTGTTTATAGCCAACAATCAATAGCATTTATTAATCGGAACAATTATTAACTCAAAGAGAACGTACAATCGGCGTGATTAATGCCTGGTCTATCAAAAATTTTAACCATCTGAGCAATGATTGATGGAGTAATATTTTTTTTAAAAAGATATTCCACATCTAAACTAATTTAGAAAGTTTATGATTAAATACTCTTTTAGACAGTCCCTATAACAATAGACTATCCTCACTTAAAAATTTTTGAACCTTAATTTAAATAAATAATGAATAATAATAAATGTAAATAATAAGAATTCCAATTAGCCACGAATTTAATTGAAATTTTTAATTTGAGATAATTTGAATAATTTAATTTAATTATAAACTTAAGTTTATAATTATTATAATCAAACGAACATTAATGGTGACGATTATTTCGTGATTGCTGGAGAGGTAAATTCAAATTAGAAAGATGTTCTGACTTGGTCTGAGGTACTCTACCGACGGCCTAATATTTTTCTCCCCACCGACTAATTAGATGACTCAAGGTCTCTCCTGCCAACTCATTTTCGCCAATTAGACAACTCTAAGTAATTCCTAGGCGTATATATCCCTTCTTTAAGGGCCTAGAAGCTTCGAGAACGCAGAGGTTTCGGGAAAAACGGTATGTATTAGTCAGTATTCGCCGGTTACTGCGAGTATTCGTACGTAGCTCGTACTTGGACGACTCTTGGGCATCATCGGACGATGCCAACCCACAGACAACTCGTTGTAACAGTCAACTCGGTACGTGTGTACTAGCAGAGAGCTCACGCAGTCGAACTCTCTAGTGAAAACCCAGACAACTCCTCAGACATGGACTAACTCACCAGTTAATCATCTATAGTGATGATTATGAACTCATCAGGCAGTCTACCTCTTAGAAGACATCCTCAGGAAGCTCATGTTGGTCCGCATCAGCACCTTCTTACAAACGGCGCGAATGATGTCGGCTTAGACGCCTCACGGCCTCATGGACAGATACACACACAAGATCCATACACGAACAACTCGCTTGTGTCTGTGTGACTGACGCCAACACATTGAAAATCAGACAACTCCTGGTGCAGAGACCAGTACAGGAAAACTTACAACTTTTCTGTGATATTCTACTCATCAGTCAACTCATCAGTAACCTCTCTATGTGAAATTTCAGTGAACTCAATACTGTACAGACAATTTGAAGACTTTATTTTTCAGTGAACTCATCTTATATAATTATCAAGCAGACTCTCGTCTCGTTATTTTTCTGTTACTGTTACTTTTGTGGTCAATAAATCGTTAATTGTTACTGTTAAATAGTGTCAGCCAACTCATTTACACCGTTCAGAAGTCCCGACCGTTCTAGCATTCAAACATCCTAAAAATATACAGTCCACAAAGTCCCGACTTCTCACTCAGCCGACTCAAAATCAGAACAAAAGATAAACTCGAAAATTTTTATTATGTTTTGGATGATTAGAAATGGTAATTTGTAAATAGTAGTTTCATAAAAATATTTTATGGGGAGAGTTTACTTTTCAAGATTATCAATGAAATTAATGATCTTATATTGTAACCAACACTAATTCAATCGTATGATGTTACTTAAGCACGGACCTAAAGAAATGATTCAATAGAATTATTATTATTTAAACTCATCATTTATTTCATTTAAGGTTCAAAAATTCAATTTAAATAATAAAAAATAACAATAAATTCAAATAATAATAATTATAATTTAAACTTACCTCTTCAGTCATCACGAAATAATCGTTACCATTAATGTTAGTTTGATTAAAGTTGTGAGAGTCGGAAACCGTTTCGCGCACTTTGTGCGTGGGGAAAAGCCAATAAATTGGAATCTGTGGGCATAGGCAAATAAGCTTTTGCTCACTTTGTATCAATGTCTATCAGTCAAGCCTGTGTGAGCATTTCACCACCTTAAGTCAACCATTTTTGCGTTCTGAAAAGGACAACGAAGGGTGTGAGCATTTCACTTCTTCGTCGTCTTACTAGGGTCTGTGTGGGTGTGAATACGCGACGTATTATTATTGTTACTATTGTTAATTAGTCATCAAATTAAAACTGCGAATTGCTTGTATTGAAATCATTACGTTAAAATACTAGTTTGACCGTATTTAAAAGACCGGTTATTAATAATAATTGTTATTATTTTCTGCTCCGCCATTTCAGTGCAGGTTTTCCAAAACTGGTAACCTTAACCACAAAAAAGTTGGCGCGGAATTTAATTTCTTATTATTTATTTCAAATCTAAACAATTGCTCCTGAAATGCTCTTTTAGTATTAATAATTGCTCCCATAAAAAAATCAATTATTTATTTAATATTTACAGTTTAAAAAAATTAACTTTGAATTAACAATATTATTGTAAATAATGAATTTTAAAAGAAAATATTAAAGCCATCACATTGCTCTCTGATTGCTCTATCTAAATCGACTATCAAATGTATAATTTATTTGATTATTTATTTATTATAGTTAAAAATAAAAGTTATCATTCATAAATAGCGGGCTGTGACATTAGCGTAGCCGTCTTCATAACGTTATACTATATTTTGTGCTTATAAGTATATTGTGTTCATTCAAAGTATATTCAGATACGTCACTTCCATGGAAAGTAACATTGAACATTGCCGCCTTTTCTATTCGGATCGGATCAGTGCGAAAGGTTTAAAAAAATTTATTATTGACAAAAGACAACTAGACGTTGTTTATAATCATTAATTTCATTATAAACTATCGAAAATGGCTTTTTTAAAAGATATTTTCGCAGTTCAAACAAAAACAATTTAAATAAGCAAATTAACAATCAATTCCTGACGTCATATAAACATCATTAACATATAAAAAATATTATAATTGTTATCAATACTTATGATTATAATAAAAATGAGAAAAATTTATGAAAAACTGTCTTTTAATTTTTTTTACTGGCAAGTTAGGTGCGCAAATCTTAAAGCTCGCCCTCAGACCGCTTTTTAATTGTTTATTATGAAGAATGTTCTGCAAAATCAACCTTATTAATGATAACGTGTTATTGAATAACAAATAGATTCCATAATAAATCTAGTAATTCCATAATTATCCAGTTTATTTATAGATATTTTCAAAAAAATTAAATATGGCTTCCGTTTCAGCAGAGTAACCAAAGAGTCGTTGTCCCACCACATAGATTTTCTGTTACAACACGTGTCTCCCACCACTCAATACAAATTGACCCTTTCTCAGGTTTAACCCCTTCCTGTTCTATTTTACGACGCAAAATTGAGTAACATATGTAATCATGTCTTATCAAAATAAAAATTATTATTTAAGCAGTAAGCTATTGTTTTATTGTTCATTTATACATTTTAATAATCTTCGCATTTTGAAAATTTCTATTATTTAGTCATATAACATTTCCGAAACTTTATTATAGGTCGTTTGGAAGATGCAAAAATGATCGCATACATACGAATTATAGATTATGCTCATTTATTCAACACTGAAAAATGGGATGATGTAGCAAAAGGGCAACTCAATTCATGGTCGTAAGTAATTTACTTTGTTTAGATTAGTATTATTCAATTTCTTTTTCTCTTTAATTTTACGGGATTTTTTTTTAGAGAAATATCTAAAGATACAAGGTTGAGAGGGTTGTATAAGGCAAAAAAATGCTTATACATTTTCAAAAAATCGGTCAAAAGATTCAATGTATGTATCCAATTTTTTGTCTATCGAACAGAAAAAATAAATTTAAATTATATAGTAACTTAAATTTTTCAGTGGATTAGTAGCCAGCCAGCGAACACTCGGAAAATGCATCACTTTAATCAGTATAGAATGTTCGAAAATTACAAGAAAGAAATTGAAGGAAATAATTAATATTCTACAAAAATGTTTCTTAAATAATTTCAAATTTTTTGCAAGATTTATCATAATCTATCACGTAGTTCAATTATGATTCAATGAAAGTAATCGTATAATAATTAATAGTAATAAAGACTAAATCATTTAATAAAGGAAATTCTTTTATACCTAAAATTCTAACTTATAAAATATATAACATTACTTTATCTTATTGGTTATTATTGAAATTATTACCTCAACACCAACAAATATTTATAGATTTAACTATCAAAGTTTAAATAATTTAATTTCCTATTATTTTGAAGAAGTTGGGGACATGCATCTAAGCTTCTTGAAAAGATCGTTTTGTGAATTTGATAATTCTGTGGTTAATATTTATTTACCTATCCTCCATTATAATTTTAAAGCTTCCATAAGGTTTTACCCTATTATAATAAAAATTTTAAATATGTTTATTACAAAAAAAATGACACATAAATTGAAAAATGAATAAACAATGAAAATATATTTCTGAGCAAAGTGTGTTCTTACATGTAATTGTATTAAATTTACATAAACAATTATTATACACACAAAACAAAGTACAAGATTATATTATTAAGATCCTAAAACATAGAATAACAAAGAAATTTTAATACTTGGTAGTTTTTTATGCAAAACATTGATAGTTTTTGACAAATCATTTATCTGCGTCCATCGATTATTTATACTTCTTGTATATGCTACATAATGACCTATACCTTTTTTATCTATTGGTGGTCGAAACTCGATTATGCCACATAGAATATAAGTTTTATTACAAATTTTTAATGAGGTCGGAATTTCACTTAAATTAGTACTTGAATACTGTTTTATATTATTTTTTCGTAAAAATCCGAACCCGGTATAAAAATGATCGATATCTAAGCATAAAAATTTGTCTATGTCAATTGTTCTCTGAATGGAATTATTAGAACATGATTTGCAAAAAAAAAACGTGTTGGCTTTAACTCGTCTAAAATATGATGTTCTAGAGAGTTCAATCCATGCTTCCATATTCCTTTTGCTGATACAGAAAATATCGATAAATTCTGAAGTACTTTTATATTATATTCTTTGCACATTTTATTGGTGCAATACTCTGTCACCGTGTTTGAGTCATGTTGATCCATTAATTTTTTAAATAAATTGCAGACTTCGTCTTTACAATTGATATTATTATCTTCAACTGTGTAAAATTGACGTAATAATCGTATTCTTTGTTTGTAAAACTCTAACGTTGCACCAAATTTTGCATAAATAATCATAGATTGAAAATAACAATTGTTTTGAGTTTGTGATTCAATGAAACCTTTGAAATCTTTATTATTGAGGTATGTAAATGCTAGTATTTCAGTGATACTATCGTAAGCACAGGTATTATAAATAAAAATTTTAGTGCCATCGACAAGGGTTGGATGAAGAAACAAAGATCCGTTTTTGATTATATTTTTTTTTTTTCAAACGCGTGTTCTTAATTCTGGAAATGGTGCCACATATTTCCCTCTACATTTTTTCATATCCAGATAGTCATTTAATTGTTCCTCTTGTGTGATAGCGTTTCTTTTACACTTTAATTTAAAACTATCTCTTTTCTCTGTTTTTATATAAAAATTTCCATCAATTGTTTTTTCAACCGAAATATCTGTGCCAGCATAGTTCCATGGAAAATTTAAGAATTTTTTTGCAGTGTCTTTTGGTGTCGACTCTGCTAATGGATTTGAGAGCATATCATCAGTTACATTTGTATAGTTTAGTGGTTCTTCATCTCTGTCAGAATCTAATTCAGATTCATGTTTGACTTTGTTTCGCCAATTTTCTTTCAAATTCAATATTTCATGGTGATATAAATTTTGTCCAATGATCTTTTGGTTAACAGATTTCCTCAAAGGTATATTTTTTACATGATGATTATTGTAAACAGCTCTTGCTTCTTTTACTATGGATTGAATTGATCGTATATGCTTAATTAAAAACTTATCAGGCCTACACGGTTGATGATCTTCTAAAATATTTTTTTTAATATTCCTAAAATAATTTTCGGATCTTGCTGATGTAGCAACATCATTGGAAGAATTATAATAATTCAACATTACATTTGTCCAAGCCGGAAAGTTTTTGAAAATTCGTTGAAGATCATCAGTAATTTTCGGAAAATAAAAAGGATTTTTATCATCGTAATTTATTGATAAATTAGATTTTAAATCTAATTTTGTTTCCACACAAAGCATTTCAATATAAAAAGATAATTCTGAATCATTAGATTGAATACAATTATTTTTTTTATTTAAATCATCACAATCTTTATCTCCACGATCTTCATCACCATCATCTTTATCACTATTATCATCATCATTGTCAATGGACCAATAAAATACAAAAAATTTTGAGTATCCAATTTGTTGGATGATAGAACAAAATTCAACATCACACTTTAAGTTTTCTATTGATTCCCATAAATTCCCACTTATACCTAGATCTTCATTCTTTGCTTCTTGACGAATTTGGTTTAAAACAGCTTTAGAAGGTATGATGGGTGCTATTTGTTCTCCAAAATTGTTGAACTTTTGAATTAAGTTTTCTCTAAACCCCTGGGTTTTCATGTGTACTAAAGCTTTTTTCATTTCTTCACGTCGTTGACCAGAAACATGCCTTCGTTTGCTATGTAGATGTTTTATCATATTGAGAGTCCAGATAGAGAACTTGATATTTTTATCGTTAGAAAACTGAAATTGACACTCACAATAGATTGCAGCGCAACATGTCTTATCTGAACACTGTCCATTTATTTTTATTATATAATTATTGTCATCCATTTCATAAATTTTTTGGCCTTTAAAGCTGAATGCACATGGTAATTTTTGTTCTATATAAATTAAATCACATAGTCAATTACTCCAATTTTTTTTTAATGTGAAATAACAGTTTTTATTTTTGTCCATTTTTTGAATTGGTTTTATTGATAACCATTGTTCTTGATTTAGTGTAATATCAAATTCAAGGATTTTTTCTTCTGAATTTTTTGGGTCAAAATGCATCTTGGATAATTAAAAATCTTTATCATTTGAATTATCATCTGACGGAAGATCTTCAGTTCCACTATCCGAATTATAGTTGATTTTATTATTTTTTGATTTAATATTGTTGATTTCGGAATACGTTGTTAGAATAGCATTTCTATTTTGTGAGATATAAAAATACAAATTTATGGGTTTCATTTTAAATTTACCAGATGGATATTTCCATGAATTACAAATATCATTCCATACTGGATCTTTTTTAGATTTTAATTTCCCATCACTTTGGAAGATTTCGATGTTTTTTAAAGCATCGACGATTTCGAAGTGCGAAACGGCTGCCCAAGAGGTCATATTCTATGGATATATTCAATCTCTCAAAATAGGAGAGAGTTTGCTGAAAAAAAAAATTTGAGAAAGAGTAGATAAACTTAATTCTCCAAGATTAACTTAAATCAGCTGAAGTTCAATAAAAGAAATTATCAATTGGATTTACCTGTTAATACAAATAAAATCGGTCAACCACAATTAAAATAGTAAGAGATAATATTCAGAATTCGTATATTGTGTAATAAATGTTAAATTTGATTTTCGTATCAATTGTTTACTCCGAAAACGATATTGGAATAGAAAAGGCGGCAATGTTCAATGTTACTTTCCATGGAAGTGACGTATCTGAATATACTTTGAATGAACACAATATACTTATAAGCACAAAATATAGTATAACGTTATGAAGACGGCTACGCTAATGTCACAGCCCGCTATTTATGAATGATAACTTTTATTTTTAACTATAATAAATAAATAATCAAATAAATTATACATTTGATAGTCGATTTAGATAGAGCAATCAGAGAGCAATGTGATGGCTTTAATATTTTCTTTTAAAATTCATTATTTACAATAATATTGTTAATTCAAAGTTAATTTTTTTAAACTGTAAATATTAAATAAATAATTGATTTTTTTATGGGAGCAATTATTAATACTAAAAGAGCATTTCAGGAGCAATTGTTTAGATTTGAAATAAATAATAAAAAATTAAATTCCGCGCCAACTTTTTTGTGGTGTAACCTTACTAATACAAGGTTAGGTCTCGATAAAGTAACTTGTTATATTACCGACTCACCGGATAAGTCATTTATTATTATACCGTCTGTTCAAAGTCTGCATAATTAGCGGCAAATTCAAAACCTATAGATATATCATTAGTATGTGTAAAATTCTGTTAATGAATACTGTTTTTATTGATAAAAAGATTCCGTTGCTACCGACATTAAAGCCGTCTCGGCGGCAGATTTAAATCCTGTACATAGAGTGATTGCTTGTTGTTAAAATAAAGATTTATTATTGTCAATCTAATACGCTTGGTACCCTTCACTGTTCACTATTTGCTAATTACCTATCCTAATTACTTATCTGACTAATTGACCTGATTTTATTGTTTTTAAACCGATGTTCCGACTCAACTCTTGTCTTATTTCCTAATGACGAATCCTGGACAACTGAGCTCAATAGCATAAACGGGGACAAGAGTACTGTGTAGTGCAATTTAACTCTTTCTCTTACAATAAGTATTAATACTTAATTAGTAGTTAAATTGGCCGATAATTGAATATTTCATCTGTTATTGAATTTCACCGTTAAACATTAGGAACAAAACCGTTACAAAGTAAAGTAAAATAAAGATATGTCGAAAGGTGCTTCCCGTCAATTGAGGTTAGACTCGTGGTATGTCGAAAAGTCTTGGGCTAGATGCGTGTATCCTTGTGCTTTTCTAAAAGCGCGAGAATATCACGTCCCAAGTAACGCCTTCACTAGAACTCGACTGTTCACAAACGGACTATATCTATTTATAGGTCCGCTTGCTTTCAAACCTGGTTTTGTACTTTATAACGGATAATACTTCTTCTAACGACTTGTGAGGACATTCCCTCACAACTAAGTACTACAGTCGACTTGTAAGGGAATTTTCCA